TAATAATAATAATAATAATAATAATAATAATAATAATAATAATAATAATAACCCTGGGCAGAATCGGTTGTTTGAAACAAACCCGAAGATATTCTATCGCAATCTTACTCAAAAACCAAAGGGCTATACTGTCCCTCCTGCAAACGATGACTTCGAAACATTTGGGGCAGGGAATCTGGTAAGAAAGCAGATCCTACAACAAAAACCCATTTTAGCTCCAATCCGAAGTTGATGCTGCCGATGAACTTGTAGAAACAGTGGAACATGTTCACGAATTTTCAGAAGAGTACCTCTTCCAAGGAATGAAGAACATGGGATACTGGAAATCCCCCGAAATTGATAAGATCCAAAGAATGAATTTAGAAATTTGCAACATTTCATTTTCATCTAGGAAAGGCTCTTAATAAAATTTTTAAAATCCTAAAGGAACTCTCTGATCGACTCACACTTGGCATCACGTATCTGCTACCTGAATGGTGAGTCAGTACTTTGGCGCAGAACTGCAGGCCAATCACTTGATTGCCAGTTATGTAGAAAGTTATAACTGCAGCCGTAGCTTCGAAAATGTGCAGCTACCTACAGAAGAATCATTTGTTGCCAGTTCAACAGAAAGGATTCTATGGTTTGTAAAGGTTCCTATGGCTGTCAGGAAATCTTGCTACTATACAAAGTCATCTTGAATGTTGTAAGGAAACGAAAATGTAATTTGAGCATAGCTTGGATTGACTACCAAAGACCTCTGCCAATCTACCACACGACTGGATATTGAAGACCGTGGAGATCGCTCGATTTCATTCTAGACTTACGTACATACTGTTGAACTTGTGGAAACAATGGAACATAACGAATTGTCGGAAGAGAACTCTTCCAAGCAATTCATATCATGAAAACTGGAAAGGCCCCGAGATTGATAAGACCCATAATTATTGGATTATAAAAATTAACAGTATTACATTATCAAAAAAAGTAATAAAATTTTAGACGTAATAAAAGTTTATAAAACCTAAAGGAGCTTCCAGAATGACTCACACGCGGCATTACGAATTCCACCGCGGGAGACAGTTCTTAGGAAAAGAACTACTGGCCAATCTGCCAGTATTGTACAAGTTATAACTGCAACCGTAGCTTATAAAATGTAGACACCTAGAGAAGAACCTTCTGTTGCCAGTTGAACAAAAAGGAATATCGTAAAGGTTTCTATGGCTGTAAGGAAATCTTGCTACTAAATAAAGTCAACTTAAATGATGTAAAGAAACGAAAACGTCATGTAAGCTTGTCTTGGGATTGACCACCAGTAGCCCATTGACAGTGTATCATACGATTGAATTTTGACGACCCTGGAGAGCTATCGATTTCATACTTGACTTACTGAGTTTTGCAAGACTAGTATTATGTCATTGAATACCAGTTTACTAATATATAGCAGAAAGGAAGCCGTAGAAACAAGTATTCAGCTTAACATTGGAAGTTTCCAAGGAGATTCGCTACCCCATTTGCTGTTTTGCATTAGTTTGATCACACTTTCTTGACAGTTGTCGCACACTGACTCTGGTTACAAGCTCCATGGTGATAAAAGACCAGTATCACATGCGTTTTAGATGGATAATCTTACATTGTTTCCCAAGAGTGGAGCAACTTTCCCTTCCAAATGTCTGTGGTGAATGATTCGCTCCAAGTGGTACGTGATCACCTCTCATCCTATCACCTCATAATTCAAAGCTTAACAACTTGTCTTGCCAAGCCGAAAAGCTGATCCCCATAATGACGCACGTTAACCTCCCTCCATGATAGAGTATGATTGGATCTCGGAAGATAACGTGTTGCGTTATCAGAAATGGCCTACATGCAATATAATTAATAATTTCACCAAGGCAGTACACGACCTTGGAGTTTGTGGTGGAGCTTTAGCACCCCCATGAGCTATGTTGGCGAAAGTCTTGCTACTAAGCATGCCCTCCCATACTGAATATTTTGAAGGTGATGTGTCAGACAAAAAAAGTACTTCGGAGGAGAGCCTCAACTGTAGTTTCGTTGAAGAAGATGAAGGATGATAAATGAAAATAGAGCAAGAGGCAGTTCGAACCGCAGCGTCTGATCCACGTCAGTCTCCTTCGAAGGAACGGCTGCATCTACAGTAGGACGTAAGTAGAGAGGAGTCATGAATTGAGAAATGTAGGGGGTCATGAAGGTTTATGACTAGACCAATGTAGAATGTTGTAATTTAGATGATGTTATGGTAATTTAGAATGGATAAAAATATCTACGCAATCTGGAAATGAAACCCACCACTCGCCGAGTTCGGAAACAAAACTTCAACGCTGAGCAATCCATTCGCTGATTTAACACTCCTCTTACAACACACTATATAAACGAAACTTGAAATCAACTTTACGATCTCAAAAATTAATACGCGGAGATGCTAATTAACGAAGGATTACTCCAGTTACGCGTTCTAAGCCAAGGTCTGGCAAAAGAAGAAACGTTTTCGCGGAAGTGAGAGAATGTATATGTGTGTGTGTGTGTGTGTGTGTGTGTGTGTGTGTGTGTATATATATATATATATATATATATATATATATATATATATATATATATATATATATATATATATAGTTCGGTCTAGAGAAGGCAGTTTTATAAAACCTCAGATAGCGCAGTCGGCAGGTATATTACGTTTCAATGACTGATCATGTCATTTCAGTCGTTACTCGTGTAACTCGTTAACTCTGAATCACCGCTGCCTGGTAACAAATTCCATCGAGCGGTCGCAATGTATATAGCACAAAATTGACTTTTTTCTACAAGCATTGATTCTTATGGTTCAATTTTAGTTATTAGTTTGCTCATTAAAAAATCTTCGAATAAGGTCATGTTGCATTTTTTGAAAATATGACTATTTTTTGTGTAATTTGACTACAAAGAATGTTGTCCGCTCCGAACTTACTTCGTGAACATAACTTGTGAGGTGTTTGAAAGCTATTGCTTTTCTTATAAAAGACAGTAGATTGAGGGATGGTAAAAAATTTAACTTGGAACTTGCAAATTATGTCTTTATACCAAGAAATTTGGAAAATATTACAATACTATAGTGTTTAATATTGACTATTACATATTTGCACGTTTGCCAACAATATCAATATCGAACTTTTTATCATTTTACTTTCTTGCATACTGCTTACGCAAAATATTGTAAGGCTTGAAAACTTGTCGGATATGTTCGTGAATACACTGCATACCTTATACAATGAATTCAATGCCAGAAATGTATTAATATTTAAAGTTTTGAATAAAAATCTTTTGTTTGAAACCATTTAATTTTCGCACAAAATTTTCAATGATTTCCAATTAGTTTTACAAAATTGGTGACTGACATGTGTAAATTCAGAGAAAAAATATGTTATAAATAGTAATACATAACCATTACAAAAAGCGAGAAAGATTTTGTAAATTCTAAGTACCATTTTAAACTAATGGATTGTTATAATAATGGCTGTAAAACCATCTTGTTTCCATGTCATTGAATATTTTGTTTTGCGAAGTAATTATGTTGTGATATTTTCTAGAAATTGCAAAAAAATTCTGTCTGTAAATTGTTAGTTTAACCAGTAACTTGCTTTTAATTTCGTATGACCTGAAATGAAAACACGTAGGTCAAAGGGGTGCATTTTCAGTTAACTAATTGCAAAACTTATTCCATTAATATTAATTCCATAAAAATTCTCTAGGGCAATGACATGGGACTAACTAATAGCAGTAGGAATCAATACAGTATTTCTAAAATGACAATATCAAAATAAATGCAGAGTTAATTATTGATACTTTGTATTAAATATTTCTTTATTATTGTTATTTTTATTTTAATTTACTATTATTTTTTTTACAGTTACTATACCGCTGTGTGCAAGTTATCAATCTGTCTCATGACAATGCTCATGCACAAATGGATGTGAAATTGCGCAGTCTGGTGTGCTTAGGATTAAATGAACAAGTCCTACATTTGTGGCTTGAAGTTTTGTGCTCATGTGTTGAAGTTGTTCAAAAGTGGTAAGATTTAAACATTACTACCAAGTGTTGAGTTTTAAGTTTTTGCTATGCAATTATTTTTAACTTTAGTTAGATATTTTATCAAGATATTTCTTTAAGTACATGTTACCTAAGTATTTCCATACATACTAAGTATGAAAGGATTCTTCTAATTGTTATGAAGTTAAGAAGTGTTGCCTAACTATTCCTTGAAATAAATCAGGTCAATTTTTTATCGGTCTTTATCATTGACTAGCATTCTGTAATATTAGCAGTTGAACACAAGCTTTCCATTTTATAAGATTTTCAGACAATTATTTTGTCATTCCTTTGATCAGTTCCTTTCAACACTTAATTGCCACATTTGTCTTTTAACTATTCCTTTCCTTTCAGTATCAAATCCATCTTCCAACTTCCTTCAGTTTTGTTGTTTCTTTCTTCTCAACCATCCATATGTCTTCACCATAATGTTCTGCTCTGTATTAATAGATGATTGTAGGCTTCCTTAAATCTCTGCGATTAGATTCATACAGAGATTTCTTTTATAATATAGGAACTCTGCCATTTGTGCTAATCCATATTAAACTACATCTAAGTTGTTACAACCATTGTAATACTTCATGATCTGTTAAACATCTAGATCCTCATTTAAAATTATGTTAACTACCACACCTACCATTAGCATATTTTTTGACTTGTTTCGATTTATTCTCATACCAATCCATATAAAAGATCTATCCAATTTCTTATGCTTGTTTTGTATTACACTTGTTCATCTCATATAATAGTTATCATCTACAAATTGAGTATTATATATATTTTCATTTTAATCTTCCATCTGATTCTTTGTCTGCAATTAAATAAAAGGTTACATTATAGGGCACACATACATAGTCATGCCTGAAACCATTGAACTTGACATTTAAATTTTTGATGACATTTTCAAAAAGATTTTTGTTCACCATTGACAGTATCTGAGAAGGTAAAATGCTTAGTTTTGCAAAGCAATGTGCACATAAAACAGACACACATCAAACCTGTAAAACTATCACCATCGCCAGACACCATGAATCGCTGTAACGTGAATTATCTCAACAGTCTTCAAACTATATGTTATACTTGTATGAATGAGAGTTTTTCAGGGCTTTATCTTATTGGTATATGTAATTTATATTGGATAGAGTGTTAACCCAGGGGTGCACCAAACAGATTTAGGACCAAAAAAAGGTTTGCGGATTCTGGCATATTTGGGGAATTTTTCAAACATTCTCTCACCTCGTGATACGTGTGTGTGAAGCAATTTGAACTTTTTAGCAATGATTTTAAAAATTCTGTTTTGGGGGGGATTGCTTTCTCCAAAAACATTTTGGGGCCATTCTGTTATTTTATCGGGAGTTTCTCCTCTTCAGGCTCCTCTAGCTAATCATAACTTCCCCTTTCATTCAGCAGGGGACCCAATACACCAAGTGTTTAACTAAAGGACGGTGAGTTGATGTTTGATTTTTTTGCATGCAGCCCCTCCATTAATTAAAGGCAAAGCACCACTGATCGTATCGATAGAATGTCTTCGTGAATATTTCTCTCCATGTCCTTAAATTTGTCGACGGCGCCAAAGAATCTTCTTAAATGCTCTTTTGCACGTCATCTTCTTCGTCCATTCGGCAAAGAATGACTCGTTTGAGTTAAATCACCTTTCGAGGTGGACCAGTGGTTTGATAAATATTTTCTAATGGTGTGCAAAGTTCATTCGCTATCTTGCAGTCTTTAACTTTCTTCAGTTCTGAAGGCTGAATTACAAGTATGATATCAGATAAAGCTTCGCTATCTTTTCATTTCCTTTCATCTATTTTAGCAGCATTTGTTCCATCGAATTTCGGGTTCAGGTCTCTTCTTGATTCCTATGACGAAACTCCAAATCTTGTTTTTTACCTGCAAAGCTTTTCCATGTATTCGCCATGTGTCATTAATTGTCACTTGACAGCAATTCTATGCATACCACTCCCGAAGACATCAGCTTCGGCAATAATTCATTCTTCAAAAAGCAGTTTCTTGCAATTCGTAATCGTTGCGTAATTGGAAGAATTTTCCAATACCAGAACGGAATTCTTTCATAATTCATACGTATCTGGGCCCATAACCATCGTAGAGAATAGCAGTGGTGAATTACGAGAAATTAGGGTTACTAAATGAAATAATATAAATGCTTTAATATATAACTTGAATGAATTACGGAGCAAGGCATCTTACCCACATACAGATGACAATAAACATTTGTCGGTCTCCATCCCAGCCATGACTATGTAACAACCATCGCACATTCGGTCGTCATGTAGGATCTGAGCATATCCGTCGATCCTCAATCACAATAATAATAATAATGATAATAATAATAATAATAATAATAATACTTCTAAATAAAGTAATCTTAAATTATGTAAAGAAACGAAAATATAATTTAAGCATGGCTTGAATTGACTACCAGTGCACAGTGCAGTGGCGTAGGCTCAATGGATGCGAGGGATGGTTTTCGGCCCTTTGAAAACTTTTGTTAAAAATGTTTCTATTCGAATCTCTCTCTGTACCGTGTGTGCCCTTTTTTTGAATGTGCTATCCGGTAGGCGTCTGCCTCCTACGTGGATGTGATAGACCGAGCAACATCCTTCGGCGGCTTCGTTTCGAAACCGAGATCATTGTCCCCCTCACCATGTGTGCGCTATTTCGGGCGGCGGTGATGTGACGCTGACTTGTCGCATCTCGTATTTTTCATTGGCACTTCTGTATTCACCCTCCGAAAGCTTCGCTGTCTCCTCCTTTGAGCACCTCTTCTTCTTTCAATGGAAGGTGTTACTAGGTGTAACTAAGTATATGTTCTTCATATAAATGTAGGCATATATTGTGACGTCATGGATACTCACAGCGACCACAGACACAGAGCTTCGTATAACAATATATTTATTAACAAAGAAAACAAAACAAATATATACACTTAATAATCTACTTACACCCTAGCTCTGATAGACCTAGCCCCTGATCGCGGGAGCGATCCAAACCCGATTAAAGATGGTTTTGAATGTGGCATTCGCCACTCCTACTTTTGAAGCGCGCACAAAGCCTAGCTTCCGTGACCGGATGTCACGCTGGGACACAAAGTCCGTTCTGGCGCACCAACGGCTGGTTTGCCTCGATGGCAGGAGCGATCTTATCCCATTGAGAATCGGCGTGAATCGTGGCACTCAACCACTCTTCACCTCGGAGCACGCACACAGCATCGCTCCCCCGTGACCGCAGTCACCCAAGGACCTAAAGTCCGCAGGCTTCGTCAACTAGTGACTCGAGCCTCGCGAGCCTGGCTCGCATATGCACCGTCGTGGCGCCAAGTTTTGTGCACATGCACGAGGTTCTCCTACTGTCTCCAGAACCCACCCACTGGCTCTGTACACTCTGTTATATAGGCGAGGCCCACGTGACCTACTACGTCACGCCACCCCCTCGCTTGTTATAACAGTGAAAAGTTTCTATAGGCCGGATACTCCCAAAGCCTTGTGTCTCCCGTTTCCGCGTTCTTCCCTTTACGGAAAACCCCTTCTTCCTGTGGCGAGGCTAATCCTCTACCAAGCGTCCCCAAATAGATGCCATGAGGCACGCTGGCTAATACGTTACAATATACTGTGTAGGGCAAGTGTGTGTTCGTGTTATGTGTGAACGCGAGAGTGAGCATTCATGTATAAGAATGTGTATGTATGTGTGTGAGTGGATGTGTATGTCTGTATATGTATGTATATGTGTGTATATATGTGCTATACAAGTTTGTGTATATTTATATATTGGTTGTATATGCTTGAAAGGATTGTATTGTAAATTGTTTTTGGATTGTAAATGTACATTTATGGTAAAACTGTAGGGTTATGGATACAACCTGGCAATCAGCCAATTGTAGCCAAATAAATATTATTATATATTATTATTATTATTATTATTATTATTATTATTATTATTATTATTATTATTTTAACACAAATACTATTAAGGACTGGGAATCCCAGTGGCCACGTGCTAATAACTGGCGACTCCGTAGGGGGGGGGGGAGCGTCGTGCTCACACTACATTCGCAAGTGCGCGCGTGTTTGACAACAGTCTTGATCCAGAGCATGATTTACGAGACTTGGGTTATCAACTGACACTGACACAGAACTCTTACCACACGCGACTGGTTTGTTGCCAGTTTTTTTACACGTATTTTGTGTTGCGAAAATGCTGAATTTTTCTTAAAACTGTGGTATAGAGTATAGCAAGTACACCTACTGCGAAAAATTATTGTTTGGAAACTGTAACGCGGTTATTAGAATCCAACAATTTCCTGCAAAAAGATGTGACATGGCGAGCACATGGTTTTGTAGAAGTGGATGAGTTACGTGAGGCAGGTAAAAATTAGTGAAAATTCTCAATCTCCTTCGAAAGGTTTAAAAAGCTGTATTTGGTTCTCAAGTAAGTTAAAGATAACGGCAAATCGACCTCTAATTACACAATTATTAGGGGTAATGCTCATTTTCAGTGTACTTTGGTAAATTATTGATGTTTCTTATTGGCAGAGTAAACAAAGCAAAATTAACAATTCCCGAAGATTCTCAAAGAATGTACAGTAGGTATGTACATCGTAATATAGAATATATAAACATACAGTACATGTCGGTTAAATACGTTAATTGGTTTGCTACTTTAATCCGTAAAACTCTGATCGCATCCCCAAGTTCGCTGAGCAGGAGACGCCATTGACCAGGAGGCCTTTGACAGTGTACCACACGATTGGATTTTGAACACATTGGAGATCTATCTATTTCATCCTAGACGTAAGTTTTGTAGGGCAAATCAGGGGGTATTGAAGTTGATATGCACACTTGATTCATGATCTTGAGCCAACTGAAACTTACAAATACATGGGCATTGAAGAAAGTGAGAACATCTCGAACGACACAATGAAAGAGAATTCGCAGGTAGTATTATACAAGAGTGAGATAAGTCCTGCAGTCCGCTCTGAACCCCAGGATTAAAATATTTGCAATAGGTAATTTGGCGGAGCCTGTAGCCGAGTAGAAAATCGCACTAGTGGATTGGACTGAGCAAGAACATGGATCGAAAAACTAGGAAACTGCTTACAATGTATCATGTCGCCCACGCTCGAGCTGATGTGTGTAGACTGTGTGTCTCGTAAGGAAGGAGGAGTTCTCAGACAAATTGAAACCTCGTAATACAATGCAATAGTGAGGATGGGAAAGTATGTAATCAGTAGTCAAAATAACTTGGCCTCTAAGGAATTCGAGCAGGTTTTACGCTCATGGTTGAAAGAGAAAACTATACTCGCTCCAGCCATAATATTTTACTGATATCGTAAGAGAGAATGTATACTGCAACAACAATAACGATGTACTTTCCAAATTTGAAATATGTCTATGATCAATGGAGGTTGTTCGTAGATACTTCGAAACGCCGCCTCAGAGCTTTTCTGTTTCGTTATGGAAATCAATATGCCAGTAGCCCATTCTGTTCATTTAAAGGAAACACGAAAATATGGAAGAATTCTGGAAAAAATAATTAGAACACCAATGGGTTTTTTCGGAGACTAGGAAGTTATTGGAATATTGTTGGGACTTCAACTAGGATTCACTAAGTTAACCTACTTTCTAATAGGATAGCAGGGCTCTTGATTTGCACTGTGTCAAAAGGGATTGGTTAATCATAAATGCTGTAAATCCCAGAGATAGAAATGTCATAAGAAATTTGGTTAATCATTAAAATATTATTTTTTTCTCGCTCCATATTAAGAATGTATTGTCAAAGAATAATGAAACAGTTTGTTAAGGCTCTGAATAAGAATGGAGAGTTCTTAAAATATATTTGTTCAAAATTTCTAATTTTTTCAGAGGTCAAGCTTAAGAAGGCATCTTTGTGAGATCTCAAATTAGAAATCATATGAATACTTTTAAACTTTAATGAATTATGCAGAAATACTGGCCTTGTTAGGTTTCAAAATTGTCTCTGTGAATACTTTAGGAAATAAAAAAACATCCTGATTTCAAAACAATGGTGGATGAAATGTTAATTTCTATGAAGAATTTAGGATGTAACATGAGCATCAAACTTAATTTTCTCCCCCACTACCATGTTTTCTTCCCTGATAATCTGGGGAATTTCAGTGATGAACATGAGAGAAGTTTCATCAAGACCTGTGAAAAAGATGGAAAAACCTTATCAGGACAGTTGGGAGGAAGTTAGACCACTGTTGGTCCTTAAAGAGAGAAAGTGTAGAATTGCACAGATGAGGGTCGAGGGTGCAAAATTTCAGCAAAAGAAAATGTTATGAGAGTTTCTGACATTGCTAGTATACAAATATCATTATTGTTACTGCATGTTGTCAATGTTCATATGATGTGTACCTATTTACATATTTATACTCTTTTGTTTCAGTAGAATTGTGTATATCTAGTTTTAAATCGTTTATTCACTGTGCGTTTCTAGAAACTTTCATAAATTAAGAGTTTTTGTTTACCAGTCTTTTCTTTGAAATTTCGAAACATTCTTACTTGTTAGAGAAAAACGGATTTCAGATCTATTAAGTATAGCTAAAATGAATTCAGATCACCAATGAGAACCAAAAGCACTGACTTTTCGCAGTATCATTCCCGTATCATTCGAACTGACAACTTACCAAAATTGATACACTAATATTTTGTGAAAATTTGAGATCAGTGTATTTTTAATTTCAGATTTGAGAGATTTGAAATTTTACATTTCAACCTTTATTTTGTAAAAACTATTGAGTTTTTCGATAGAGATCTCGTTGCAAGTTTTACGAACGTGTAGGGACATCTGTGTAGTGATATGTGATTCTTACCGCAACCGGCGGAGATTACTTTATACTCTTGCAGTCTGGTTTGCTCAACAATGTAATATGTAGTTGGGAAGGTAGATAATTAGCTTCCAAACTATTACTCGGGCAACTTTTCTTGAACGATGGATTGACGATTTCGGGTGGAGTGGGGATATTAGTTACAAAGTCGGCCACTAGAGAATTTTAAGTAATGCCAACGTCTGTGAAATGAGTCAAAACTGCATCTTGTGCTTAACTTTTTCGGGAGTTTTAGGTGACTCTTTTGAATGACCTGGACTTGACTCAGCCGTTTCTTTCGATATTGACAATAAATCTGAACTGGGGTTCTGCACTATGAAAGCAACTGGCTTTGACTAGCTGGCTGTTTCGCACCAACGAAGTTTTAATTGTTGAAAGGTTGTCATCAGTGCCCGCGGCGAGCTTTTGCCTTCAACTGTTTATTGCACAAGGGAGGGGGATCAAGGTCATCGTTCAAGAAAAGTTGCGCGAGTAATACATACAAGCGACTTCTCAGCTAATCAAACACATCAGCGGCGTCTTTTCACTCTGGACCATGGATGCGCCAAGGGCAGTAAAGAAAAGTGTTAACCCCCACACGACCCTTTTTGCTTAGATATTTACAGTAATATTGAATTATATAAACAAAAACCTGATTTATTTTAAATTAAATTTTTGGAAGAAGGAGGAAAAGATAGTAGCAAAATAATAATGATGATGTAGTCTTTATAGGAAAGATTGGAACAATACATTTTAAAGTATTTAAAAATACATGCTCGACGTTAGTCCCATTCTGCAGTAGTCATTTTAAAAATTGAATTCTGAATATTATTAGGTGGGGAATGGTCGCCAATTATAAATCACTTGTTTATTTTCTTCATGCGAAAGAGGAGAGCAATTATTTAAAAATGTCTGCACTATCATTATTTCACTATCATTATTAATAAATAACACTAATTTCATGAGTATCGCTAACGGCTGCAACGCGCAACGCAGATACAACACAATCGCATATGCTCGCTCTTCAGCAGGCCGTTGAATCGAAACCCAACGCCTTCGCACGCTTTGTCCGTGAGTGGGGGGACGTGGAGCGCATGCGCTGTCGCCACCCGATCCACGCTGAAGATGTTTGGAGGCATCGCCACACCCACACCGCCTGCATGGTCGCGCTGGTGCCGATCTATCACGCCGCTCGCATGGAAGGCGGAATTAATGAAAAAAATCTGAATAAATTCAAATTCATTTTTATTTCCTTGGGCTTTGACACATGTCTTGCGCGCGCGCGCGCACACACACACACACACACACACACACACACACACACACACACTCACACACACACTCACACACACACTCACACTCACACTCACACTCACACACACACTCACACTCACACACTCTCTGTTGACACAGAAAATGCCAGTGAAACACAAATAATATTCCTGGCCCCACTGTGCGTTGGCTCTATTTCCTTTAGTTTCATTTTCGATTTCAAACTCATCCTCCATCCCTTTCGTGTCTTCTTTATTACCATTTCCCTACCTCATCTCAAATACCATAACTCCCTTACCGACTGAGAAGACAACTGCTGTAAAACTATGTCTTCCTAGACGTATACCTTTCCATGACTGTGTATTCAAACATTGCAATTTTTCTTTGCGATTGAATTTCTCTGTATTCCATTTGTATTAGACTGTTCAAATTTAAAATATGCTAGCAAATAAAGTAATATTCTAGGAAACCATGAAATATGCATCATGTTAAATTTTTCTTTTTTCCCCAGGTATCAGCCATGGAGTTTTGTATATAGCCCTGGTTGGGTTCAGATCAAATGTGAACTACGTGTACTCTCTCAATTTGCTTTTAATCTCAATCCAGATTGGGAATTACCTGCTAAGAAAGAACAGTCTCAGCCATTGAAAGATGGTGTGCGAGACATGCTTGTCAAACATCACTTGTTCAGTTGGGACCTTTGAAGTGAAGATAGTAAAGGACACTTCTGCTTTCCAAATAAACTATGCTTATTAATGTTTTTTATGTTTGTTTGTTATTTTTTTACTTCAAAACACACACAAACGTACACTCTGATTTCAGGGACAGTAGAGGAGCCAAACTGTCAGTTTACATATTCTAGAATTTCAATTGCTACATGAAAGTGTTTGTTTATTAATAAACAATTGGAAAACCAATAATGTACATTCATACCAGCGTAAAATGTAAAAATTTGCAATAGTGCAATTAAGTATTATTATATAAATATCAACAAAACAATTAATTTGAAATCTAATTTTAAAAAATAGTATAAACAAACTTTTAATTAATTTACATTGCATTTTTTGCAATTTGTAACAAAACATATTGTTAGTGTTGGCAGATATTATTTAGTCTGACATTCTGACTTTCACCATTGATATTGAAAATTATTTAAATGTTAGATACACTTCAGCATGTTTGGAAGATAATATCCAAGAGACTAAGAAGAGAAGAATGTAAGACATTTCTTATGCAATATGAGTGGTTATGAATGTTAAATATCTTTTGAAAACTGGGAGGAGGGGGGGAGTTAAAAGAGTCTTTTGAAAGAAGTGATATTACATGGGTAGATTGTGGAAAGTACAGGATGTGAAATAAAGGCAAATAAATCTTCAGAAGTTGCCCCACTTTCTGTAATTAATATTTTCTTCACAGGGCAACAGGTCTATTTATTCAATGAAGCAGTGCATGTTGAAGTGTGACATATTGAACATGCGTAATCTGTTTTGGGGGGGGCTGAGACTTTTTTTTTTTAAGGAAATAATCTGTTTAACATTTTTATTGGTATGAAAAATTATAGTATGGTATCTTTTATTGCCTTTGTTGTTGTCTTTCCTATAGTATTTCCTTTTTATTTTCGGGTTTTGCACTATCAAATGTGTGTAAAACTGAGTGATTGTGGTCATTGTGTATCTGCTGAGTTTCATCATTTTTGTCACATTTAACATAAGAGGAAGTTAGGTTAATTTTTATTTTTAGAATAGAACCTTTATTATCTGGAATAATCACTGGGAATTGGGTCCGTGGGAAATCTAAAATTAGAGATGTGATCAAAATACTTTTATTGGTTCAAATGTGTTAATGTTAAGATAAATTTAGGAAAATTAATATGTATTAAAATTTTCAAAAGTACAGTGTACTTATCAAGTAATTCATATCATTTTGGTATGTATTGCAATTTTAGTTGCAGAAATATCCTATCGCTAACTCTTTTTAAAAATTCTTTCAATTCACTTTCATTATGAAACAGACCAGAATAATAGTATTTTCGGCTTATCAAGCCCTGGATAATGGATGTTTTACTGCATTTCAATTGAAGGGCTGAGTGCAATAGTAGTCTAACCCTCAAAAAATGAAAAATAAGTTATTGACACAATTTATTATCTAAGAAGATGACAAGAATCTTTGTAGATTGTTGGTTTGACCAGTTTTCCTCCATAAAGTTAAGAATAAAGTCACCATTTTTTCTCTCCACAACTCTTTCTAATTACAACTATGAAACTTGATTTGTCTCAGTTTTCTTGAAATGTGGCTTTGACCACTATTTCACTGACCCCTTCAGTTTGATTTGTATTGTTGTATGTATTCAACTAATTTTTTTTTACTTTTTAAGGAATGTACAATGTTCCACTCTCTTGAACCACTTTAATGCCACAATGAAAATAATGATCTAGATGCATTTGAAGAACAGTAGATTGGGGTGTCCAAAGCTATCTCATTTAGTATAGAGACGCATAAAGCAACCAAATTCTTGTCCCAACAAAGCTTTCTTTTCTTTTTTACAATTTGATCATAAGAATTTTGTCTTTTGTACCACCTTGTCTTGCATGTTCAGCTTATTTCAACATAAACTGTCAATTTCATCTCTCGCAGAGTTTGTGGTCAAATACTGATAGCATCAATTATTTAAAATGTCAAAAGCATGTCATAACTAGAACAAAAATGTTCAATAGTAGCTAATAAGGCTTTCATTTGATTCTCTAATTAAATGTGAGTAGAAATAAGTATGCATCCAGAAAGAAAGATAAAGGTCAGTGTTCATGGAATGTGGAAGGTCACTGAATGTACTTTCAATATTTTATCAGAAACTTACCCAGTGCCTGTATAAAACAGAAGTGAGGAGGCTTTGTTTTCTACTTATGGTATTTTCTATAAATTCTGCATCAAATGTTTGTTCTTTGTTTTCCTTTTTCTATTGCTGTCTTGATTTCAGTACATAATTTCTAATGAGATTTCTTTCTATAGAGATAGGTACCAAATATTCTGTGCAATTCCTTCAGAAGCACATTTGTATAGAATGTTCTCTATTTCAACTGCACTAAAAAGTACAACAGTCAACATGTGACATTAATGGAAACATAATGACCTTAAATTTTAGTAATATTTTTAACCAAGACTTCTTCTCGAAAGAATGTATCAGAACATATTTTCTGCACATTTTGGTGTATACATAATATCCATGATACTAGATGTATTACTATCTTACTGCTTCTGTATTGTCATTAGATTGAATTGGTAAATCACAATGTGTATCTTTTTCCTTTCTTCTGTAAAAGGTTCCTTACTGTGATCTAAATTCTGTTCTATTATGTTTTGCAAAATGGTCTAGTTCAATTTTTTTTTCAAACTATTAGAAAATATTTTGTGAGAAATCAAGCTTTTAACAATTCGGCCTATGTACAGGTACCCTGCATATTTTTTGTAAAACCCTGCAAAATGAATGTATGTATTTGAATATATGGAAATGAATGTAACTGTTGAAGACAGTGGTGATTTTTCATATTGAATAATTTCAATCAAGTTGTAAGGCAAATTCAATTGTAACTCGATTGTTTACACATTCATTAAGACTGAATGTTCCGAAAATTATTTGTAAGTAAATTCAATAAATTGCATCACTATCAGAGGGCAATTTACATTTCAGGTAACGGCCGTAAATAATTTTTGGCATTTTACTAGTTCTGAAAATAGAAATTACTCTGCAAGGCCACTTTTTGCAAATAAAATATCTTTATCCCAGTTTTCAAATTGCTTTTTGTACTTCCAACAAGAATTTCAAAAATATGTGCATATATCGCGATGACGACATGCTTCCTGAATCAATCACTATGTCAACGGTCCACATCCGTTGAATTGGAGCGAAATTGGGCAAAATATACGAGTATTGTGACGTCATTCCCAGTTCCGCGCCACGGTGTCACCCGCGAGACGTCTGCGCGCAAGGTGGTCTATACTGCTTTTCACGTTGTGAAGGTACAATGTGTCTTTTGGAGAATCCGCTCGTTGTTGCCAATACGACTAGAGATGGCAATAAAACATCGATATTTTCTTCACTTCAATATATTTTTCCGAAATTATCGATGTTTTAAAAAAATCGTGATATAATTATATTTTCAACTATTTTTTTGTGAATTGCTTAAAACCAACAGCCACTGGCATTATCACTGTTAATGCCCAAACCGCATGAAACCATTTAACTTTAATGTTTATTCCCTTTTATAGGTAAATTGGGAAGAGGGGAGAGATTTCTTTATGATTATTTTTGGGAGTTTGTCCAGGATGTCTCACTTTATTATAATTGTAACAAAATATCTGTTATGTTTCATACGAAAAGTAATCGAGTGACGTATTCATATAAACTGGTTCAATATCTGCTTAAGATGAGCGCAAATAAAGACGAAATTAATAGCTTAAAATATTTTTTGTAACAGCGAACCACAACTGATTCATCGAAAAGAGAATCTTGCCCAAACTATACTATTGTTAACTCCAAACTAAATTTTCGACTCCTATAAAATTATCATGGGGTTGCCCAGTGTTCACCATATGAGTGAAATGTTCACTATTTAGATTAATGACATAAGTACTTAAAAAAACAAAAACATAGAATATGTAAATATATCTTAATAAAATAAATAATTATTTTATGACAGGAAGAATTATGCAGTTTCTTAAGGTTCGTTTTTATTCACGATTAGAAGAGACCTTTTTGTATTCAGAAAACATCTCAAAATCTTTTTAAATCTAAAATTATTTCAAAGATATGAATGCATTTTAATGCATTTAACACCATGAAAAATGTTTGAACTGACGGAATGCAGGTTGTGTCAATTTAAAGCAAGAGATGCATTTTTTAAAATATTCAGTACACGTGTATGTATGATAAAGAATTATTTAAGAAGCATAAATAAGTTCTTGTCCAAAAACACCTTCCAACATTTTATTGTTTCATGTTTTTTAATAATTATGTTTATAAAACAATGTAGGCTCTCATGGTTGGATTCACTATTAGAATCATATGATTTCCACCCAACCAATCCCGTCAAACCCGAAGATAATTCGAATTGTTTATGTTATATTTTTTGATGATTTTATACCTGGTAGTATTGCTAAACTGCATTTTGAACCTTGTCTATATAGAATGTTGATTAAAAATTAAGATGACAGAGTGATTTAATGAAAAATATACATAACACTAAAATTTAAGTATTATTTATCCCATTCGATCCTGGACATTTACTATGATGACTATGAATGAAAGTGAATAAACTGAAAATAGCAAAACACAATGTCCTTTATTTTTTATTTCCTTTACATTCATTAATTATTATTTGTAACTTAAATAAAATAAATGTCTTTATTGGTGGCAAGGCTCAGACTATTTGGCCTGCTCTTTCGCCTGACTACTTTAAAAAAAAAATTTAATATAATAGTTCATGAAAAGAAGGTCATTCAAAGAGAAATACATATGCAATTTT